TGTTCAGAATTCCACTAACTGTGTTTGGAGGGAGAAGAATGATGAGTACCATCCCGAGAACACCATCCCTACTGTGAAGCATGGGGGAGGTAGCATCATGCTTTTGATGCGTTTTCTGCACATGGCGACTGCACTGTTTTAAGGAGATGATGATGGAACGTTAGATTTTGGGGAACAACCTCTTTCCCTCAGTTAGAGCATTAAAGATAGGTTAAGGCTTGGTCTTCCAACATGACAATGACCCAAAGCACACAGCCAGGATAAACAAGGAGTGCCTCTGGAAGAAGCATATCAAGGTTCTGGCATGGCCTAGCCAGTCTCCAGACCTAAACCCCATAGAGAATCTTTGAAGGGAGCCCAAACTCTCTTTCTCACTGACATTGCAGAAACCTGACTGATCTAGAAGATCTGTGTGGAGGAATGGGCCAAAATCCCTCCTGCAATGTGTGCAAACCTACTGAGGAAACATTGGACCTCTGTAATTGCAAACAAAGACTATCGTACTAAATATTAACCTCAAATAAATAGTTAAAAATCCTACATTGTGATTTCTGGATTATTTTTCTTTAGATTATGTCTCTCATAGTGGACATGCAACTACTATGACAATTTCAGACCCCTCCATGGTTTCTAAGTGGGAGAACTTGCAATATAGCAGGGTGTTGAAATACTTTTTTTCCTCACTGTACATGTGAATTGAATATTCATTCAATTTACAGTTTCTTCCACCCACTGGTCTCTGTATGAGTGCAACCCTTGTTGCTCAAGTTCAGGCGGTCGGGGGTGAATTCCAGACAGCGTTGTAATTCTTCCAGGGATTAGTGTGCTCAGCTGAGGCTAGCCTGCATCTGTGCGAGAGTGTTTAAGGCTCAGACGAATCAGAAAGGAGGTCAACAGTCACTGCTAACAGGGAAGAAGGAAAAAAAGGTGTTTCCACTGGAAACGGGTGAAGGCATCGATACGAACGCACTCTAGGTGCCCCTGGTGTGAGAACATTTTCTCTAAATAACAGACTAATTTTCAGACTCTACCTTCTCAGGCCATGTTTGATTCCTTCCTGAGGTTTAGTGCAGCATTTCACTGATCCAGTGATGGATGCATGGATTGATTGAGAGAACATTTTTCTCTAATCTGTTCTTTTCCCAAAAGGATCCAGAGTTAGGAAAGCATTAAATTCAACTCCAGTTAAAGTTGTAAAATGGGGACAGAAAAGACGTTTTTCTCCTCCAACAGTCAAAGACGGCTTAAATCCCAACAGATTTTCTCACAAACCAACAGCCTCAGCATGAGATTTTTGCAAAACCAATCCTCCTGTTGTTTCTCTTTGATCTCAAATCATAACTCCTGTTTTGCTTTCTATTCACCTAAATTTACACACGAACATCTTATAAAATACCAACGAAACAAGAGACGTTCTGCAATATTTCATTTTTACTATCCTCAGAGTCGTTTTAAGGATGAGCTTTCAGGATTGCATAAAGTTTATCTAATTACAAGCTGAATATCAGCTTTATTTGGTCGTAGTAGTAAAAATGGATCTAATTTAAAATCGATTATTTTTACCAGACAACATTTAGAGATTGAGCTCTGTTAAAAAAAGTAACAAAAATGTTAAAATTAAAAGTAATAATCAGAGCTTTCCCACAGCATCATGCTGCCTAATTTACTTCATAAGAAACATGAATAAATGCATGCTTGGAGGAACCAAACAGGTGGATTCCTCGTCCTTTTGTACAGGGCAGGATCAACATGATTCTTAGGAAACAACTGAAAACCCGTGAAAAACTCAGACGACTTCAGACGGATTAAAGTGTGTAAAACAGCAGTAACGCAGCCAGGCGGACACGCTCATCTGAGGCCATATGGTGGTGCAGCGTAGGCGGGCCGGCGCTCAGCAAGAGGGGGTGTTGAGGTTTAGGTCCTGGCTGTGGCCTTTAGGCCACTTGGGGCTAACAGGATTAGGAGGCAGGGTTACTAAAGGGCGGGCTGCTGGTGGGACACAGCCACCTTCAGGATATTTGAAAGCACTTTCAGAGGTGAAACTGGCTGCGACCGGAGGGAAAACCTGCCAGCTAAGGTGGGCATGTGTCCATCATGCTGCGACGGTTAATCTGGACGCTACCCAAACACTGCGGCTTGCTGCCGCCCCTTTAAAAGAACAGAGAGGGGAGTGTGGGGAGGACGCCACAGCAGCTCCAACACCCTGCATGAAGTCAAATCCTACTCTGCAGGTTGATAAGTTAAATCTACCTGTTTCAACTATTAAAATGAATCAGTTAATTAGTTCTGATGTTCACAAAAGCAGGAAATGGGGAGAAAACAAACTAAGAAACCAAGCTGGTTGTAATCATTTAGCTACATGTGTTGTCTTCCTGGTAAACCTCTCAGTCCTGCTTTCTAGTTTTTATATCCATCTAAACAATCATATGCCAGAGTGTCATTCTTCAAATTATGTGTTTAACACCTTTTAATGTTAGACCAACATTGGTTTTTATTTTAACAGAGAAAAATGATAAGTCTGCCTGAACTATCTTCTACAAACCATCAAACCATCCCACAGCATGATGCTTCCACTACCATGTGTGTTGTGTCCTGTTCCTGTCGCACACAGAAGGATAAATGAAAGCTCAATTGTTGCGTTACTGCTAACAGCTTTCTTCTTGCTGCCCTGCCATGAATGTTTAAAGGAATCTTCTCCTGGTTCTTTACTTGTATCTGAAGTTTTCTTTGAATTCATGTTTAACCATTTTAAGGAGAAACTTTTTTAATAGAGCTTATTTGGACCATTATAATACCCATTTCTTTTCTTACAAGGGTACATATACCAGGACTTGATTTGAATGTATGTGCATTGATATAGTTTTAGCGTTAGCAAAATTAGCAGGTTAGATGGTTCATTTATAATCATTCCTGGTGTCTTATGCTGCGTTCAGACTGAATGCGTTTTTGAGTGTTGAGAGCATCTGGTTTACAGGCAAAATCAAAGGCACCTGAGCCTCGATGCTCCGTGCGTCTTACGCTGCATGTTTTGAAGCTCTCTCTCTATTTCGTACTGTGCGTTTTATTTAAGCAACTCTAAAGTAGCCGAAACTCGATTTGGAAAATCTGAATTTTTGCAGCTCGACGCAGAGTAACAACGAATCAGAAAAGCTAATCCTGTCAACATTAAACTATGAAAAATTAATATATATATACAGGGATTAAACTCCACAGGTTTTAAAAATTTGAATTATTATTTTTTATTTACAAGTAAAAAAGGGGAACTGTGGTCCCTATTACTCTGCTAAAATATTTTTACACTGAACTGTGGTGAAACAGTTTATAAATACCTTCATTAAAGCTATAGCTGGTTATCCTGTTAAGAAACACTTCTGGTTATATTGAGTGAAATGGTTCTTCCATCCTGAGAGAACTCAATACCTTATGTATTAAGAAAAGGGAACAGAAAAAAGAACAGACGTCTGTGAGAGCTGCAAGCCTCTCAAAACTAACCAATATCTGACATTCAGTAAGAATGGGAAAAAAAAAAAACAAGAGCATAATGTTTAAATAGGATCATAATCCTGATGAAAGGATGACATTTGGGTGGACTTATCCACTTGACATGAGGGATGCACGATATTGGGATTTTGGCCGATATCCGATATGCCGATATTTTAAAACTCATGTAACCGATAACCGATATCGATGCCGATGTTAAAGCTGGACAAAAATAAGTAGTCTTTGAAAATAGCAATTTTGTTATTCATTTCCGACACTTTGAAAAATAATATACTCAAATATATTTTCATATGCTGATATCAAATGGATCATTAAAAACGCAGTATCGATCTATTTTACTTTCGAAATCTCGTGAAATTTCATGGTTCTGTTACAAACTCTCGTGATATTTTGTAAATTTTGTGAGATTTTGTTAGTAAAATAGATCGATACCGCGTCAATATATCAACATATACAAATATGGCAAAATTTTGTGAATTTTCAGGGGATTTCGTAGCATAACGATGACATATAGCAATATTTCATTAGTAAAAGAGATTGATATGGTGTTTTTAAATCGCAATATATCAGCATATCAAGATATTGTGATATTTTAATGTATCAATATTTTTTCCCTCGTCTTTAGAAGTTTTTAAGTCTGTAAAAAAGAAGTTTTTGAGGAAGAAGAAGAAGTAGTATTTATTAATTTTTTTTAAGACTTTAGAAACTCAGAAGCTGATCAAATATTGGGTTAAATATCGGTGGGGTGGCCGATGTCCGATATTCGGTTTTAAGGCCGATACAGGCCGATACCGATAGGGGGCCGATTATATCGTGCATCCCTACTTGACATGTTAAAATAACTTTTTTTCCCCAATCCAACCCATCACAGCAAATAAAGCCAAGCTGCGCTATCGATTTTAAAGGAAAGAACTAAGCAGCTCAAGAACTGCAGAGCGTCTGACTTCAAAACGCACCAGCGCCCAATTTGAGGCATTGGATGACTATTTAAAATGTGTTAGGTGTCAAACCAACATTACAAAAAAAATTAAAAGTTACTCAAGCAGAAACGCTTGATGACTGCCTGTAGGTCAGTCCCTGATTCGTGGAAAAAAGAGTAGCCGTGGCAAAGCGGGCCGATGTTAGCATCCTTCCACAAATGAGGAGCTTGTTCTGTTGGGATTTTCTGGTTTGAACAGCTGGCTGTGGATCTCTGCAGCCTTACCAGAGCCCTGCCAGTCCCGTCAGCTCATACTGACAGCTATCATTTGACAACTTTATAGCTAAAATAAACTGTTTAAGTTACATTTTCGATAAAATTCTTTACACTTTATGAAAATGTTTAAGTTCTTAGACTGCTTTTACAAACTTTTGTATTTTAAAAAGTGAAATTCAGACAACTAGACACATTTTTACATGCTAGAAAAAATGCAGCCTCTAACAAACTCTTTTGGTGTTTAATAAGATGCCTGAAACCTTGAACACAGTCTATTCTATGAGCTGGGGGGTCAGATACTCACGCTTCAGGAAGCGGTTCCGGACCCATTTATTCTGTTTGCGGGCGTAACGTTTGGTGGCGACTTTCAAAGCTTCTATACCTTTAAATAGTCCAAAAGAGGAAAATATTAGTTAAAAACCAAAGTCTGACTGATGAGCTAACCTGACCACAGAACCAGTGAGTCTACCGTCTGCACCAACGCTTCTCTGACCTTTCTCTCTGAGCTGGTCCTTCTCCTGCTGGCTGCTGGTTTCCGGAGACGTCAGGTAGTTGTGGAACTCCTTAAAACCGATCGACTGGAAAATCCCATGTTGGTAATCCTGACTGTGGGAAGCGGAGGAAACACGACCCATCAGTGTGCAAACTTTCTTCCTCTGAAGTGACATTTATGGACGACTGGCAGCTTCTCTATTCACCTTTACCTCCCCTCCATCAATCCTTCCAGCCCCAAATGCAAATATAAACCCCTCAAGGAAGAAATATGTCAACACAGCAGACAGGATGACCTGCAGGAGCTCAAAATGACACCATCATATGAGCAGGAATATATTCTAGCAAGCGTCACCTTAAGGAATCATGTCATACATGCACCATATCTTTTAGTATTTTTTATGTCTCCTTTTTCTTAAACTGATAAAAACAATATGGCATTTCCTACGACAGGGCTGTAGGACTCACAAGGCTTTAAGATCTTTATTTAACCGAAAGGCAAGGAAGATAAAAGACCAAAAGTGACTCATTTGATTGAGTAGCGTCTTGGTTACCCAATCCTAAATTCACACAACTGGATAAGGAACAAAAATAGGAAAACTGCCTAGACGAAAAGAGACAGAAATTGGAGAGCAGCTCCATAGGACAGGAAATGTAGGGAGGAAGGGAAAAGAAAATAGAGTGAGGAAGGGAGGGAGAGATTTGACCTTGATGTCTGGTCACAGCAGCCAGCCAGGGATGGAGACACGAGAGTGGAAGAGAGACAGAGCGGCAGAGCGAGAGGCAACCGGGGCGTAAAGTGCACAGATGATCAGATTGCTGAGAAGGCAAAGGATAACGAGGAGCTGGAGCTGGGGTGTGGGGGGGTGAAGAAAACCGGCAGCAGGCAGGGTGTCAGGCCCCTCAGCCCCACCCTGTCACAGTCGATAAAGCGTTGGATGTTGAATAGCTGCCGAAACACATCACTTAGTCTACGTTTAAGTGACTATGGAAGCCCATAGAGATCATGTTTCAAACAGAATAAAGAAAAACCTCCTTAAGACATTGAAATCCATTCCAGAAAAAAAAAAAATCTGTTCAACTTGGATGTTATCAGGCCAAAAAAAATGGCTGAAATAGAAACTTTAGCTTGACAGACTGAGGGGCGGGAGGATGGGTATCTGGTCATAATTAACAAGAACACTCTTCAGTGTGGACGTCATCACAGACAGAGAGCCACTGAAACTGTTTTTAGTATCAAGGAGGTGGAGATATCAGGGAGAACTGAAGAAGGACAGTTTCCTGTGAGAGTGAGAGAGAGCGAGAATTTCAGCAAATAACAGTAAGGCGGATGGATCTCAGCAAAGTCTTTCTGTTTATCCTTTTACACTTTCAAGAAATGCACAGGGAAACTATTGTTTAAAAACTAGCCATGCTAATTGCTAATATGAGATGCAAGTGATGGCTTACAATGTCAATTCTTTAAGCATTTCTGTTTTTTTTTTTTTAAATCAACATATAGTCTAGTGTGTTTCTCTCTATCACACACATATAGATATCGTGTGTCAGCTATTCTGCTCTTGTTTAACTATATCGTCGATAAAAAAGAAAGCAAACTTATTAAGTCAGAATTCTATCAAAAATGCACCAGCATAATATACATTCAAACTAGCATGGATGTAAACTACAATCCACATGTTTTTTGGAAGTTATATGCATAAAATTGTAACACCATGAGCCCCCAATAAGCCAAAACCATGAGATCTACTTCTCTAAGCTCTGTTGCTTTTTTATTAGCCTGAGGCCTGAATAAACTCTTGTTTAATTTTTTACATTGTTAATCAGTTTAAAGCTGCTTTTAAGCATTTTTTCCATGTTTCAAACGCTGTGCTTATGAAATTGTCAGCTGATGACAGAGACGGCTGTTTGACGTTATGTCTCTTATGCCTCTAGAGGCGGGATTTCCTAAAAAGTAGCCAATCACAGACAGTTTTCCTATTTTAGGTCGGTTTCACATTCGAAGAGACAAAAATTCGACATGAGCGCACTGAAACAGGTTTCCACCCGATTAGGAGAGGATCTACAGACGCATATTCTGATTTTGTGCAAAAATCTAAGACTCCAAATCAGACATATAAATCTAAAACGCGCAACTCTTAAAAAAGTAAAAAAGTTTAGAAATTTCCAGGTGCAGAGTAGCAAGCAGTTTCCTCCCTTACAAAGAAAAAAAAAACTTATGGTAAGAAGGAAAAAAATAAAACTTGCTGGATCAATTTCTGAGTGCTTGGAAGCAGGACAGTCAATCCAGACATTTTCTATCTTCATTTAAACTTGAAAAAAGGACCATCACTACTACTACTACTATGTGCTCTCTTCATCGTCTGGCATGGGAGCTGGCTCGGAGCTCGTCTGCCTGGCTGTGTGTTTCCTGGACGGGGCCGCCTTTTACAGCTGCTTTTTGTATCTCTGCTTCTGTCTCCTTGAACCCCAGTCGGCCTCAGCAGATGGCCGCTCACACTGAGCCTGGTTCTGCTGGAGGTTTATTCCTGTTAAAAGGGAGTTTTTCCTCTCCACTGTCGCTACAAGCATGATTAGTGTGAGGGATTGCCTTAGAGTCAATGAGTCGATGCAATCAACTGGTTTTCCTTAGATAGAAAACGTCTCAATTTGACTGTATGATCTGGTTGAACTGTAAAGTGCCTTGAGATGACATGTGTTGTGAACTGGCGCTATAGTAATAAAGAAATTCTACTTCTTTTTTTTTTTAATTAAAATTAAGATAATTAGATTTATTTTCAATTATTTTGCAAGACACTGAAAGTAAAGTTTGATTGTACCTGGCCTATCGACGATTCAACCCAAAGCATGCTAAATATTCTCTGGATCATCTGAGCCGAATTCTGATGAGAAAAAAACACCTTCCTGGGTGTCCTGTCATCGACAGTGAACCGTCCCACATCCAAAGGGTGTCTCTATGTTTCTGTGGGAAGGCAGAGCTTCAAGGACATTCCAGGCATGCAGACATCCTGGTTATCTACAGGGACTCTTGTGGAAACGGCTGTCCTCTGCATCTCGCTCCATTAAGCCAGGGAGAGAGCGAAACAGTCCCGATAAATCCAGACAGAGTCTTATGACCTTTCATATTTTAGTCACGCCAGACACAGATGACTGTGATCAGCAGTGGCAGCCTTGAAAGTTATCAGACGGAGCTGCCAAGAACTTGACTTTGAAGGTTATTTGTTTGCTTTGAGGAAAATAAGGACACAACAGGCTTTTTTTTACACCAACAAATGAAACAGGAAAGAATGTTTTAAGTCTGTTTGCTCTGCGGCTCACAAACTGTCAACATTTTACCAAGAATATCCTTAACCTGCCAAGAGCCCCATGGTAACTCCGGAAGAGCTGCAGAGATCAACAGCTCAGGACCTGGGAGAACCTGTCAGCTGGAAAATTATTTGCTGGAGTTTCAGAAAGTCAGGGGAAGCTCTAATTAAGGCAGGAGTCAAGATGAGGACACAGTTAATGAGGCTGAAGGTCATCAGGTCAGGAAAAAAAATGAACTTTTTTGCATTCATGCAAACGGTTCAATGGGACAGAGAGCCAACACTGCAAAGCATGGTGGAGGCGGCATCATAATGAGGTGATACTTCATTTGATGAAAGGCCAGACCTAAATTCACATAGGAAATAATGATCAGTGGTACTTTTTCACCACTCTGTTGATTGATGCCGTAACCCGACAAAGGAGACGATTAAACCTGCTTATAAGGAATTTACAGTTACATCATCAGCAGTATTAGATATTACCCTTGCAGAGGTAAAGGCGCTTCTCTTAGCTTTCGGCACAGAGTTATCTCCATATCATTACTCATCAGTAGGCCCATCTTTCAAATGAAAGCAGCGTTCGCAGCAGTCTGACTGCTTCTAAATAGGTCTGAGGGCCACTGGGAAACGACAGCGCGCAGCAGGAGTGACCTGTCAGACTGGGAGGGGGAGATAAATAACCGGACTGTTGTCTGGCAGAGCTCACTTCCCTCCTATCGCCACGGTTACTCATCGGAGTCGTCTGCATCATGGATTTACCTCGTGTGGATGGGGAAATAAAACTGTACTCATCAAATTCCTCCTCAGCTGCTTAGCAGCACCAATAAATTGATTCTCAATAGACTCTGGATGATATCTGATGAGATCCTATAAAACCCATAGTCGTATCAGCAGGCCTTGCCGCTGAGGGGGAACAGAGGCTAAATTCCCCATAGTGTCAAAGCAACAACGGCAGCTTTCCTCTCAACCTGTTTACAGGTTTTGGGGAGAGTGTTGGAGGAGGGAGAAGAAGCCCTCTACGGTTCCAGTGGGAGCCATCCTATATCTGATAAATCGTTTCTGCTGACGTCACCGAAGCCTTCTTTAGCTGCGGGCGGAGAGCAATCATTGAAAATTAAAAACAGTGGGATTTTAAAGTTTCACCTCTGAAGGCTTCATCCTAAACTCATCTCAAATGTCCGAGGAGCAGCAGAAATGACACGAGGCGTCGCTGAACGGGTTCCTCACCTCTCATTCTGGGCTTTTTGTTGATTGTATCGGAGATGGAAATCTCTGAGTTCCTCCATTAGGCCTGCAGACAGCATCTCATCCACACGAGCATCCAACCGCCGGTCCAGAGCTAGAAAATAAAGAGGGTTCTAGTTTTAGGGATAAAGCAGAAGGTAGGACCTCTTTCGTTTTACTTTATTGTTATTTAAAAAACACGGTGCCTTGCAAAAGATGTATTTAAATTTTCATGCTGCAAACCTCAAAATAAGCTCTTCAAAAATACCAGTTTACTAATAGTTAGCTGAAAAGTGTGGCATGCATTTGGATTTATTCCCCTGAGGAATTGTCTTGTAAAACAACTTTTCACCCCAATTAGGGTGGATTTCTTTCCACTCTTGTTTACAACTTGGGTTAGGTGGAGAGCGACTGAACATCAGTGTAGTTAGATCTATATATGGACTTTGACTAGGCCGTTTGAAAACATGAATTTGCTTTGGTCTAAACCAGGCATCCCCAAACTCGGTCCTCAAGGCCCCCTGTCCTGCAGGTTTTAGAGGTTTCCTTGCTCCAGCACAGCTGATTTTAAATGAAAGCTGATTAACAGGCTTTTGGTCTACTGCAATCATTATAACCAGCTGTGCTGAAGCAGAGAAACCTCTAAAACCTGCAGGACAGCGGGGCCTTGAGGACCGAGTTTGGAGATGCCTGGTCTAAACCATCCATTTGTAGGTCTGACTGTATAAATGAATGAATGAAAAGGAATTTATTTCAGACAACTGACAAATAATAAAAATAATAGATAACTCAATTTAAGAAAATATTTCAAAGAATCATCCACCACAGAAAAAAAGGGATTGGTTACAGGTTGAACATTGAAATTTAATTTAGTTCTAAAAACTATTTTATTAATTTGAACATAAATATAAGCTAGTCAAATAAACTGTGTAAAAAGGGGTATGAGGAAACAAAACTGATTTTACACCCCCCCTTCTCCCTCTAATTTAACTTAAAGCAACCTTAATGTTTAACGTCTCTGTTATGGATAAAAAATTCACAAAAAAAAAAAAAAAATAATCAACAATTGCTCATGTGTTATGAGGTGAAGGTATAAGGTTAAAGGTATAGAGGATGATTGTTTATTTCCAGGTGGATCATCAAAATAAGTGGTCCACCTAACTGTCAATCATTGTGGTGATATGTTTACGTAAGGCCGTTCCACGTGCTCGTTCCGTTAGCTATTTTTTTCTGTGCATGTGGCCTTTCAGGCGTCTATCTGTGGTGAGCTACGGTTTCAGACAGTCATTGAAGCTCACCACAGTTCTTTGAAAATGGTCGAGGGCCGTAAGTAGAGGTGAGTATTGGCATGAGTGTTGCGATTCGATACATGTTGTGATACTTGGGTTACGGTACAATATTATCACGATATTGCAGTATCACTATATATTGCCATATTTTCACCAGCTATCAAAATCAAATGATGAGATAAAACAGCAAGTGCTGTATAGTTTCTGATGAAAATATTGATTAGGTATTATTATCCATGTTGTTTGGTTTTCTTCCACTGTGACTGCCTCAAATACAGATTTGGTGCTGCACGCACAGTTAAAGGGCTCCACAGCGCTTTCTGCCAGAGTGGTGGTGCAGAGGTAGCCCATTTTCCCATCAATGTTTTATGTAACCATTTTTTTTTTTTTAATCGATACTAAGAAGTGAAAGATCGATATTATATTGGGCAGCCGAATATCACAATATATCACCAAAACGATTATTTCCCACACCCCTAGTCGTAAGAGAAAAGTGTCTACGAAGAGTACGAGGAGAAAAAAAAGGCATTCGAAAAGGAAGATATATCCCAGAATGCTTTGCGCATAGAGCTCTCCTCGCAAAGCATTATGGGATTTGCCATCACAGCGGCCTGCTGTCGGTACCCGGGTGACTAATAACAAAGATGGCGCAGTGGAGGAGGAGTTACGTGACCAACGGGGATCATAAAGTAGTGATCATCTGTCCAAACGGTCAGTTCATTATAAAGTCCACTATATTATACATTATATAGTGATTGAGGGATTTAGGGGTTAGGGCGGACATTTGGGCACAGTAAGCTTGTATGAGCTATGAGAACATCAACTATAAACAGAGCACCCATGAGGAGAAATGGGCTTGTTCATGTTCTCGCATATTTTTCATATGCGTTCCCTCTCAGGAGCGCACACAGTGTTGTGCATTTTTTCATAAAGTCGAGAGGGCGGGTGTTTTAAAAAAAATCTGCGAAAATTCCTCCACTATACATTTAACCTCTGGTCTTGTAGTAGATTTTCTTCAGGAAGTAAAAATGTGACTAGAGGGGTCATGGACAGATCCCCTCTGACCCATGAGGTCAAGCATCCAGGCGATTCCCAGGATCGCCCCATAACAGAACTAGAAACACAAACCTGTCTGTAAGTAAACACAGATAAGATTCACCAACTAAAAATATAAATCATGTAACGCTTACATCATGCTTTGACCATTTTAATTCGTATTTTCCACAAAGCGGGCTTTTACTTTGCCGCCGTGTCTCACTTCCTGTCTAACTTATAACATTCCTGTAAAATCCCTGCTTAGGTTGACCAACATAGACCTCTGGTCTGATCGCCAGCAGCCTCTTCAACCTGTTAGAATCTCTAAAGCTTCTCATACAAATCCATTTTTGTTGCAAATACAGATGTAGTGTATGCTGCAATTGTTCTGGCTTCATTTCAGCTATGGCTTTATTCTTGACACTCAGCATTCTGCATGCCACACTTTTCAGATTGTTCTAAAAAGTGTTGAAGTTTTGAGTTGTAACGCAACTAAAAGTTTGAAACAGCAAAGAAAGTCATAAGAAGCTATAAATAAAACCAGATTTCAGACGATCGTTCCACTCTCACCCTCCATGTCGGCGTGCAGCCAGAAGATGCAAGGGTCCGGGTACCTGAGGGGCCCCCCCAGCCCGTCACCTCCCTGCCTCTGCTCCTCCAGCCAGTGGCTGTGAGGGACACCCGTGTCCTTGTGAATTTGCAGGCTTCTGTAGATAAAGCAGGAAATCAGGCTGTGAGGTTCTTATTTCTCTTCTATATAAAGTCTCTCTAAGCAAAGTGAGATTAGCAGAGTTAACCGCCCATTCATCCATTAAATGAAAACCTCCAGCTCCCTTTTTGAGTTACAAATTAATCATGCGGTTCAAGTTCTGTGAATCCTGATGACCGCCATAGTTGAAATGCATCCAAGGACACATGAAGAAATAAATAAGAGCCAAAGAAGAAACAGATTGAGATGCTAAGCACATCTTTTTGTAGTCATGCTCGGCTGGACTCTGAGGTTAGGAGGAAAAGATGATGCGTGTCAGCTCCAGGCTGAATAAAGGACAGGGCAACCTAACCTGCTCGCATAAAACACCACTGCTCCTGCTGCTACCCATCAAGCTGTGCTAGTGAGAGAAAGCTGGTGTATAGCTGACAGGCCCGGGGTGGGCGGTGGGGGGGACCATCTCCTCAGGGCATCTCTAGACGGAGGAACAAATGATATAATCTGAGCTTTAATCATGAGATCCGAAATAGAAAATAGCAAACTGGTGTAAAGCCGCTTCAGGTGCGTTTCGTCAAGGTTTTACCTTCTGCATGAAAACAGGAGGTGTGTTTATGGGTAATTATTCAAACTAAAAGGCAGCTGTCAGATTAGATTTCTTTCAGGAGTGCATACTGTGTGCATTGTTCAGATAAAACCAGATTTGTACCAAAGAAAAATACACTTTACCTTTTCATCTACAGCAGGGGTAATCAATTAAAAATCCAAATAAAGAAAATCAACAACCAGTAAAGGTCCGGAGACATTTTTAATTATAATCTGTTACTCTAAACGGCATATAACACTGAGATAAAATGCAGGTGTTTATGCATCCAAGTTATACATTGAATTTTTAAATAAAAAGTGTAAAAAATAGAAAATTTTTCCATTGACATTAACCTAACAGTCATGTTTTTGGACTGTGGGAGGAAGCCGGAGTACCTGGAGAGAACCCATGCATGCACAGGGAGAACATGCAAACTCCATGCAGAAAGACTCCGGGCTGGGAATCGAACCCAAAACATTCTTGCTGCAGTGCTACCCACTGCGCTACTGACCAGCCCTCATTTGGAGCTTGGATCCATATTTATTTTTGATCATCTTTGAGCACAATTTCACTTTTCTTCACCAGTTCACCACAGTTCTTCCAGCAGTGCACACTTATTCTGCTTTCTTTTTCTCTTCATCTTCTCCTTCTTTCTCATCGCCCGGCTTGCCACAGGTTTGCCTGCTGTGTCTAAAAGTAGCAGCAGCAGCAACCCAGACTGACAGCAGCTCATTGGCTAATTTGTATCATGTGCAGCCTGGTGCCGGACACTATGAATGGCTTTACCATGTTAACAGGAGAAGTGGCGCAATTGACGTCTAGACACTATCATCAGACATGCAGTAATTTATAAATGTTTTAAATCAGGTTGGATCCAGATTAGTCAGCAGGTGGGTGCTGGTCCGCTAATCTGTGACCTCTGATCCGCACTAAAAGATGTTGTTAACTTTACTGAAGTCTGATTATGTTTGGGTATGAAGACCACTGAGGATATTAGCCAGAGAACAACCAAACTGTGAAGCACGGTAGTGGGAGCATTATGTTGTGCCGTCAGTTAGCTGCAGGAGAAACTGGTGCACAACACATAACAGTTTGCTTTGAGGGGAGAAACTGTCACATTAAGGTGCTGAACGACCAACTGTACAGATTTTATAGGTAAAGAAATCAGCTGCTGGATAAATGTGATTGACGCACAGCTTGACCGGCTACTCTGAAGTCATATCAGTTTCTGGTTGGCTAACGCACCGTATGTAAGGGCTAACAGGTAGAGCTCTTTGGTGAGTGGTTATTGACTGAAGAAGAATCTAAAATGGAAGACAAGGCACAGAAAGGCATAAGAAGCTATAACAAAGAAACTGAGACATGTTGATTTTCCGTTCAGACTTCTTCAATAGAAAGCAAGACTTTTACTCTTCCATCGATGTATGCCTTTCAAGTTTTGTCGCTTAAAACCTGGTTTTTTTATGACCTTTGTTGTAAGAAAACAACCTGTAACCTTATTAGGCGGAATCAAGCAAGTTTCTCAAAATGTAATTCTAGAAAAGTTAATTATTTTGTGGTTTCAGCCTCTGTGATGTGAAACATCCTGGAACTGGACGAGCTGGAAGCCTTCTCTCTAAATTCAAGTAAAGTTCTTCATTCTCAGGGGAATACATTAAAAAGGCTGAATAGTTTAGCTAAATATGTGAACCGCTAACGTAAGATCCTAAAGCAAAGAGTTAAAAGGGTCATTATTTAGCTTTTTGTTATATGTAAAACCTGCTTGCTCACACATACACAGAGGGCCTTAAGCCATGATTTACGAATCTATCGAATCCCAGGCGTTATTGCAACATCAACGTGTGCAGCAAAGCTAATGCCAAGGACTGCTTGAAAGCAACAATTAACAGGACTTCAAATGCCATGCATTAAAATTCTGGATGCCAGCATGACTCAAAACGTTTGGTTTAAATCTATTAGATTATTTTAGGTGAATCAGGTGAACCGATCTGCCATTTCTAATTAGCAGTTGAAATATTTCTGTTGTCTCATAAAATAGCAGCAATCTGCAAGATATTGTTCATAAATATCAGTTAAACTTTAGTCAGTAGCTGATTTATTTCTATACAACTGTTTTGTTTTTCTCATGGCAAGTCTTTGATTTCTTTGGTTTCCCTTTGCACCCATGGCATTCAACAGCAACAACTTTATGATTTGTAATAAAAAACAAGAAATAGCTTCCAGATCTAATAAAGCAATCCATCGGGTGGGCTTTTTGTTGTAAGTTATGGCTTATGAGTTTGGGGCTGTGTATACAACTCATTGTCAAAGCCGAAGCAGGATATTGTTCAAATTCGTCTTAATAGAATATAGTCTCTGAGTAAATATAAAGTTATTGAGCTGGTCTTACCTCTGACTAAAATAGTAGGAGATATTTGTGCAAAAACTAATTAGGCAAAGCTGTTCAAATTTACTGTTAATTTAAGTTAAAAAAGAGGCATAGCTGCTTCTCTTGCCATGTCCAGAGTATTTTGCTTTTTAATTCGACGCTAAAAATGTAAGCTAATTCAAACCAAGTCAGTATAATCAGCAGAATTTTAAATATACAACAGATAATAGAGCAAACATAGTAGCAACCTTTATTATTAAGGATTTCTACTTCTTTAAAAAGTGTTGAAATACAAAAATAAGCTGATTTATAGTTCTCTCCTCTGCGGCTGCATTAGGCCTGTCTCAGCCATAACTTCACAAAGCATGGTGGGACACTAGATGTACAAAGACTGTATATGTTTAATTTGACCCTCTATCTGTGTCCTGGTGTAAGTTTGATTTTTGTATTGGGACACATGATGATTTTTGGAATGAGAGTGGTGCTGGGGACTAAGGATTATGGCAAAAAGTATTCCCAGATGTTTGATTTTTTTGAAATGGGATTAGGCACTCATTCATAGATTCACTATCTCAGGAATGGCCACCAAGGGAGATGGGCCCATTCATATACTCACTAATATTCACTAACGAGCAGGCACAAGCTGCAAGCTAACGCATGTTAAATTAATGTCACAGTCACTAAAGTTATCATATAAACACAACTAGCTGTGGATTGTTGTGGCGGAAGGTTCACAAGCTAGTTTGGTTGCGGCCGTTCGTCGGAAGTATCTTGCTAACCAGTTAGCAACTTAGTGCTAGTAGATTACCAATGGGAAATTCCATTGGGAATCTACTAGCACTAAATTGGTGACTTAGAAACAACACTGTCAAGGAACGCTATAGACAGCAGAAACATGCAAGAGGAAGAGAGTTTTGTGTCGGAGGTTGTGGATGAGTCTCCTCTGTCGTACATTTTTTATTTAGAGGAGGAAAGCGGGGATGAAGATGTTGTGGAAGATGACGCCAGAGCGGCAGAAGCTTGGTTTGGTGTAGAAGGCTTACAGCCGTACATGTTTGAGCCCTTGCCTCGTAACGCTGCCAGTTCTGTTAGATCTACGCCCTCTGAAGACACAGACGTCCATCCCCATGAACACTGGGACGGAACTCAATGGGAAATTAAATTATTCTGATTTCTTATTTCAACCGTTGCATATATTAGCTGCAACATATGAATCAAGATGATCAAAATTTGATTGACAGATGACCATTTATATATGATTGGCCAAATTTAGGCGTAAAAGCTGACGTATAACTAACTACCCTGCATAAAATAATGAAAAAAAAAAACCAAACAGATTTGAAGACAGGATTTTTTTTAAATAGAAATTTTTGAACTTTTGGGACAATATAGTCTGATAAAGAGTACAATTATATACATGTTTAGACCAGAATTATTTGACATTTAAATGTGATTTCTCTAGCACTTTAAAAGCTGCTGTTTGCATCGCTCATACAAGCTTACTTTCCAAAAGAAGATTTGCAATTTTTCCACTATGTCAGAATCACCACCGGTAAGTGAAAATGGGGATGAGCACGTAGGACTGCCCTATGTAAATATAGGAGGACCACTTATTTTGATGATCCACCTGGAAAAGGAACGTGCTCCACTATACTTTGAAATTTAATAATATTTTTTTTCCCTTATGAGTTCAAATTTATGCAATAAAAATAGGAGAAGAAAGGCAATTTTAAAGATATTAGATGACGAAGGCGTTTAAAGAAGGTTTTAAGTGTAACACGTAGAGCGGAGGACATTACCAGATGTATCACCTGGCTATCTTGCGCTTGTCATTTGGGTGAAGCATGGACGCCATCTTTGGATCCACCTCCATCAGTCTTTTATACAACTCCTCTCCTCCCAGTTTCTCCAGCTCCATCTTCCTGTTTTGGCCTCCATCTGCTCCGTCCCCAGAGTCCTCGTTCTCCTGCTGTGAGGCATGTTCGTTTCAAACAGCTTGAATTATTCATTCCTTTTTTGATTTTTGCTTTAGCCAAATGTACTCTGAAAACATTATGCATCGCGTGATTAGCATCAAAAAAGTGGATTCAAAACTTCTCTTGGGTAGTGGTGGGTTAAATGTAGGTTTCCAAAACATCAGATTGCACAAAGTTGAATCTTAACGTCTGACTTAAAGGTGAATGAGGACTATAAAAAGTATTTCCGGATTTGAACAGCAGGATTGTGTTGAGTGGTGTATTTGCAGCTCTCACCCCTGAGTCCACCAGCACTCTCCACAGCAGGGACTCAATGTAATAGTTTGTTCCTCCAACAATGATGGGCAGCTTGTTTCTGCTGTGCATGTCATCTATGTTGGAGTGTTAAGAAGATCAAACCTTTGAGGCTGCATTTTCATTACTGATGTTGCTTATAAGTTCCCCATTATCTACATTTTAGCTACTACTGCAGGAAAGAAATTACATTTTTAAGTTAAGTTACTTATTTATTGGTAAGAAATTCTATATTATGACACAGAGAGGGACGTTTAGCCCACCCAGTATTAAATGTCATAGCAAAATTAAAGGAAATTATTGTTTCAAACATTTCGATGGGTACGAAATATATAAATATGTACTTCTGGTTACCATGCCAACATTAACACAAAAGGATTCTGCACCACATTAGCCAGAGCTCAGGTGTTGCAGATCCTCACAGCTAAGAAATAGCTTCTTCTCTGTGTTACATTTCTGAGTAAAGCCAAAAAAACACATAAAAAAAATAAAATTAAAGAAAGCTAACATCAGTTGGGTTTTTGAGTGCTGGTGTTATTTTCCTTCTGGACAGGTAAGTTAACTGTTTGCTAATGCTAGCAGTTAGCAGTCATAAAACCTGGCAACAGACAAGCATTGCAATTAAAAAGGTTGAAACAAGAGCAAGCAAGAAGTAGTGCACCACCTACTGGCCAGGAGGAGTTAAACATGTAACCGTCTCTTAAAGGAGAACTTCGTTTTTTTTTTTGTTTTTTTTTTATTGGGCCCTTGATTTTACGTTATTACATCACGTTCTACTCACCCATATGGTTTTGGTGTCATTTGGAGCACTTCTGAAGATATTCGGTTAGGTTATATCCAAGTAAGGTCTTCCTATGGGCAACGAGTTGAAGGCACAAACTAAACTGTTCATAATTTATCTTTATGGTACCCCAGCATTCATAACATGTAGGCGAACACTGGTCCCCCAGACATCCACGGTTATATTTTCTTATATTTAAATGTTTTAAAAACAAAGTGACGTCATCCGTGCATGAGGACTGGAGTTGTGACAGGCAGCCCGGGCCACAGGCAGCTACGCTCTACCCCTTCTATTCATTCGGCTAGCTAATCTGAATCGTTCAATTCCATTCTGAGAGCGAGATCATCTGTGGTAGTAGCACTAGACATCTTCCAGGCATATGAGTAAAACTAGCCACAGTTCAGCGGACAGGATGAATGAATGGTAGCCGGCGCACGTGGATGACGTCATACACACGCCGCTTTGTTTTTAAAAGATATAGATATTAAAAATATAACCGCGGATGTCTGGGGGACAGTGATTCCCCTACATGCTATGAATGCTGGCGTACCATAAAGAACAAATTATGAACAGTTTAGTTTGTGCCTTCAAGTCGTTGCCCATAGGAAGACGTTACTTGGATACAACCTACCCGAATATCTTCAGAACAGCTCCAAATGACACAAAACTCATATGGGTGAGTAGAACATGATGTAATGACGTAAAATCAAGGGGGTCAATGAATAAAAAAACAAGTTCCCCTTTAATTTCTCTGGATGTTTTGGATTTTCATCTATAATAATCGGAGCAACAATCGACTTTCAGCAGAGGTCATCATCATCTCTTCTTTTAAAATGTCCTGGAAGTGACCAGGCCTGTAGCATAGCAGGTCCTCCGCCTACCCACAAACGCAAGACTTATTCCAACCCACCTGGATGATTGATTGCTATAGATCCAACCTTTATGGCTCTAGCTGATGTCCAAGTTTATTTATGTATTAATTTAGTTTATCTCCATTAGTTCTTGTTTGTGATGACACAACAAAAAGAAAAAGCCCATTTTTTTTCCTCTGTTGGCTAGTTTTCTTATGGTGGCCCCAGGATGCAACTGACATGCATGGAGAAAAATACACAGGCATGTATGACATGTTTGGTTTTTATTCCATTTAGCTGTAGGGCTTTTCCCTATTTGATCTGCACAAATCACTAAAGTCAATATTTTTAAGTATAGTTATCAGTTTACTCTTCGAGGATTGGTGCATGGTACTTTCTATGACTGGAAACAAGATGCAGTCCCTTCTATGGGTATAAGCAGCTTCAGATGTTTATTGAGGTTTAGAAGCTGATGCAGAGCAGAACCACTGATTTTGACAGAGACATGAGGGAGTCCTGTTCTACCTGAGAAGCCGCCGGTCCAGTGGAAGAGCTACAAAAGTCTGTCCACAACTCTAAAACCCATAAAAAATTTCTGATTAAAAGGACATAGGTCAAATACGACCTAAAACGCTCCATGTTGCAATTAACCAACAATCGCCATTAATACACCATGGTGGGGAAACACGGCAGAGGCGACATCATGCTGTGGACATGTTTTTCTTTAGTAGGGAAGAATTGACCTGCTTTTAAAGAAAATCCAAATAAAAGAAAAAAAAGGTTTGTTGTTGTTTTCTTTTGCACGGATTTTGACCGTTTTATATTATATTCAGTAAACTTTACCATCATCATTTTTTTTACTACCTTGTTTTAAATTTTTTTTTTTAAATTGTATTTCCAATCCAATAAAACAGAGAAATTGGGAGAAAAAAGAAAATGCTCTTTGGTCTGACAGACAGAAGCGCCACACCTCATTTCCTCTGTCGCATCTCCTTTCATCCTCTCCTCTGCGCCTCCCCTCCCTTCTTGCTGTGGGCTAATCAAATAACCACTCAAACTAGATAAAAGCCCATCAGGCATCATCACTCGCCCTTTGTCCACTTACAAGCCTGCATCTCTGTGCTTGAGGCAGAGCGGGGACGACTATTGACAAGCAGCAGCTAAAATCAAGAGGATGGAAAACTGGAAGCCAAGGAGGAGGAGGGGTGTGTGTGTGTGTGTGTGTGTGTGTGTGTGTGTGTGTGAGAGAGAGAGAGACTGGGATGTTAAATGGGGGGAAATGATGCAACATCAAATCCCGCATCCTTAAACTTACGCTCACACAGATTCCTTCTTGCTTTCTTGTTTCCCTTCTTTTCCCACTAATCTGTATTCAGCTCTCCCTCTTCCCACCAGCAGGTTCCTGCTGCACTCAGCCTATTCTTGGAGCCCCCAAAAAACCCCTCCACTTGTGTGAGGATACAAGAAAATGATAAAATACACAAGCTCGTGTGTGTGTGCTTATGACATCCTGATCTATTAATACCCTCTCTAGTTATCGCCTCCTCTCTGCACATCTGTGCGACAGTCAGCGTCTGCGGGAGTGTGTGACAGCCCATGTGACAGCCCAGACTCAGCGCCTGTTCACATTCGTCTGCTAGTGTGCGAATACACAACCCCGACCCACTCCTCTCTAAATATCATCTCTAGTGATCTCCTGCTTCGCATCATTTCCAGGAAAACATCTGCAGCGAGACATCCTGGCAGTTTCCTCAGAGCTGCATACAAGCACCAAGTTCAGCGCTACAGTTCCTGCTGCATAAACTGCCTTACAGAAAATTGAGCTTTTGCTTGATTCTAGCAGAATAAAGAACAAAGGATATTAACTCCAGCGCTTTGTTCCTGAAGTCCACCACAGTGTAGCTCTTCACCAATGGATCCACGAAGCCGATCATGTGATGTGTGCACTGGGCGCGCTCCTCAGCGTTCACCTTATTGGTGATGATGTCCAAACCTTTATATACCTGCAAGGGACAAACATGGATAAATATCAGATTAACAAAAAGAAACAAAACACACAAAACAGGTAACTTTTTTTATAAAGATTTCTTTGCGGGCCCCACTTCGATTTAAAAAAAGTTTTACATTTGCCTCCAACCAATATTACTGACATCTTAATAAAGTGTAACAGTGTAAAGAATATTGTAATGGAATAAACAACAATCTCCTGTAAATGACTAAACTACAACTTAAAAAGTGTGATTAGTTGATTTTCTTTGGTTTATTTTACTAAGCAACAGAATTCAACAATATCATAAATAAATATATATTTCCAAATGAGTTACCTCTCACGATAAAGGCCGGACATACACTGTACGATATTTTCAATCATTGCACTCACCTACAGCTCAGACTGCATATTTAAAATTTTAAAGTCCACAGCTCATGATGTATGCTTTTACACTGCATGGCCTGATGCTATGATGCGATCTACCTGCTCACACTTTACGTCCAAAAACGAAACGTCAGACAAGGCGCCAAGAGATGGCGCTAGTCCGACTCGTCAATCTGGAAGAAGAACGCCCTTGTTTGCACATGAGCAGTAGGGTGAGGTTCTGGTAAATAGGCTCTTAGATGCTCGTAGCTCTGCTTCAACAGCAGGATTCCCTCACGAACACCTTGGGAGGGCTGACTGAATTTGAAACATGTTTGATTTTCTCCCAACCTTACGATTCCTGATTGGGAGGTGGTCAGGCTCGGACTGGTAATCTGTGATACCGGGCATTTTCCCGGTGGGCCGGTCCTAATTTCAGCATGCGACGGCGGCCCTCCTTAAATCATACCGGCCCCAAAACTTACTCTCTGGCCAAAGTACCTATGTGTGACATGAAATAACTCAAGGAGCTTAAGAAGTAATACAATGTTAACTACCTAAATGATGCGTCCTTATGCAAACCTTGTGACAGTTAATTTTCAGTTTCTTCAAACTGTAGAATCCTTGCAACAAACTAAATTATGCTTGCTGTAAAATATTCAAACATGCAGTAAATTCGTCAAATATAAGAGGAACATCGTAGTTTGGTTTACAGAAATATGTTGCAGTGCATGATGGGGTTTGGCATTATTCCATTTCATTGCCCACATGCCACCTAGACTAGCAGTGAACGCTGACACACCGCTGAGCTTTCATGGATTAATTCTTGAAGAACTGCCTGTCTGCCGCTATATTGTATTGTTTTTTGTTGGTATTTTTACAACACTTGGGCTTATGTTGTAGACCTAGTATGTGTGAGTGGGTGTCTGGCTGGCTTTGTGCAAGTGTGGACGTTATGCAGCAGAAGCAGTCACTGTCGCGTCCGTGTTAATAACCAATGCCAGTAAAAACGCATTATAGAAGTCTTGGTGATGCTTAAAGATAGATTGGTTAATCCACAATGTGTATTCGTATTGTGTTTCACATTTGAGACGCACGCGGTTGACTGTGTTTCTATTGGGGGGGGGTAGTGGGCCCGTGTAGATGGAAAAATGCCAGGACCGAAAGTCGTTCCCAGTACAAGCCTAGAGTTGGTCATGAGAGCCTAATCATTAAACCCTGGATACAACACGAAGTAGGACACACAATGAAGCTGAAACTCGGCCTGAACCGAAAAACTCTCGCACCACTGGAGAATCGGCCCGAAAAGGGAGAAACAAATCTTACAGTGTGTGCCCAGGTTTAGGTATTTATTCACTTTAAGATATAGATCTACAGAGGAGTCGGCCGATGAGAAGAATCTACTGATTTTCAGCCACTGAAGACATTCAATTACATCTTATTTCAAACTTTGAATGCACACCAATTTGTGTTTTCTGCATGTAGACAGAGGGAGAGCAAGACTTTGACCAAATAACAGGAAGGCTAAGCAGAGCAAAGTTTCCTTAATTTGTTGCCCTGTTTGCTTTGGAAGGGATTTTTTTTTTTTTCCAGAGTAATCCGTTTTTGTTTTTAAATCTCACAGTTAAGATAATTAAAGTTCTGAGACTGACTTCAGATTTACAAGCTAGCCAAAATGCTAATAAAGAAGACTCAAAATGTTAGTAAAACCAGGTATTACTTCAACTGCTCTCTAACAAATACATTTTTTTTCCCAAAGGCCTCTCGTATAATTAATTATTTGAAAGAAATCGAGCCTATACAAATTAACAACAGCAGATGAAAAAATTCTAAGATTAAAATTAACCAACAAAATAGTTTTTTTTTACTAAAAAAAAGATTATATATCTTCATCTAGATAGATAGATAGATAGATAAATAGATAGATGATAGATAGATAATAGACAGACAGACAGAATATATATATATATATATATATATATATATATATATATATATATATATATATATAAGGATGATACAAGCCATAATGTCCACATAAAGGTGGAAAAGATCAAACCCCATCTTATAATTCTTAACCAGCTTTTTTGTGTCTCTCTCATTGGATTTTGACATTAATGAGTGTTTGAGTTTAGATGCCTCATTGCAATCACCCTCGTCTTTAGTTTCCGCCTCCAGATTTTTATGAGGACTAGGCCAAGACACTAAAGCGTTACTACTGATCAGACAATGCTTTTAAATCAACATATTTAAACCTGAAACAGCCAGGAGTATAGATGATTTGGGCTGTATTTGCAGTCCACATGTTCTCTCCAATTCCCATCAGTGAGTGAGGAAGCTCTCCAATGGAATTTGATAGTTAGGTGACAAGCGGCGCCTAGATGGGACTTTCATTTCACACACGACGTCTGGAGTTTAAACAGATGCAGATCACAGCTTATTAGAAAGTCCTGTTCTCATATGTTCCACCTCTCTGGTTAACATGAATTTCTATTAGGAGATTCCACGCACTGCAAACTCCTTTCTGAAAGTTGTACCAGTTAACTTGTCACTCTTTTACCCACCATTTACACTTGCATGCTTTTAATAATTTCAATCCATCCTTTGTTGGTTTTAACGTCCATATAAGCTCCCCAATGAAAGCAGAAGACAAACAGATTCCACTAGCGGTTTATACCAGCGTACATAAGAGGGCCTAAACAATGACTACTTATCAGCGGGCTGAAAACATTTGGTCAAATTAGCTGCAATTTTTCCCATAAAGAGGAGGGTGGACCCTGTTGGCATGTTCTGATTGCTATATAGTAGATCAACAATGAGACCCACTGTAAGCCAACAAACAGGCACTGAGGGATGAGTAAGCCAGTGACGGGTATTGATCACATCCTTGGTAATGGGGCATAAACTGGGGGTAGTGGGGTAGAATGTGCTCCACCAAATGTTCCTCAGCTCTGCAGCCTGCCAACAACCAAGGAGAAAGGGAGGGTGGAGGAACCCAGGATGATAAATTATGCACAGCTTCTGTGGATGAGAAAACCACAAGAGGGTGGGAGGGAGGATGGACGGATGTTCTTTGACTGAGACGTTTGAAGAGATGAGAGAGAGGAAGGAAGGAAGGAAGGAAGGAAGGAAGGAAGGAAGGAAGGAAGGAAGGAAGGAAGGAAGGAAGGAAGGAAGGAAGGAAGGAAGGAAGGAAGGAAGGAAGGAAGGAAGGAAGGAAGGAAAAAGATTTTTTTTGTTTTTAGCAAAACATTTATTGAACAATAATTTAACAAAAAAAAAAAAAACTCAGGTTAACAATACATAACTACATTAGCAGTGTGTTATATTTAGCTCTCCATCATCAGAAATGGTGCAAAAAAACATGAATAAAGAAGAGAAAAAGAAAGAAAAAAAGAAGAAAAAAAGAAAAAAGGAAAAAAGAGAAAAAAGAAAAAAGGAGAAAAGAAAAAAGCTGAGAAAAAAGAATGGAACAAAGAAAAAAAAGAAAAGAAAATAAGAAAAAAGCTGTGAAAAAAGAATGGAACAAAGAAAAAAAAGAGGAAAAGGAAAAAAGAAAAAAGGAGAAAAAGAATTAGCAATTTAGCTCTCCCTCATGAGAAATGGTGCACAAAAATGAAAAGAGAATAAAAAGAAAAAGGAAAAAAGAGAAAAAAAAAAAAAAAGGAGAAAAAAGAAAAGAAAAAAACAGAGAAAAAAGAATGGAAGAAAGAAAAACAGGAGAAAAAAAAGAAAAAAGTAGAGAAAAAAGAATGGAAAAAAGAAAAAAAAGAGGAAAAAGGGAAAGAGAAAAAAATTAAAATTAAAAAGTAGAAAAAAAAGAAATGAAAAAGGATTTAAAAAAAATTAAAAATGATTAAAAAGAAACAGAAAGGAGAAAAGGAAAAAAAGAATAAAAAAAGGAGAAAAAGAAAAAAGGAATAAATAGGGGAAAAAATAATGAAAAAAGATAAAATAGAAGAGGAAAAAAAGTAAGAAAAAAGGGACAAAAAGAAAGTCAGACAGACAGAATGATCTCTACTCATAAAGTAACCAGGCCTTAATGTACATGATATAGATGCAGCAGCAACGTCTCATTAATTCCTCATTTCCAGCAGACAACTGAAAAAGCAGGTAATGCAAGGTCGCCGTACAAAAAGCTTCAGTCAGACGGAAGATGTGGAGTGGGGGTAAGAGGCTTTGAGCGAGGGCTGCAAATGAGAGAAAATGAGAGAGAAATTAAGACTTCAAGTCGAGGCGGTGGAAATGAGTTACAAATTGCTGCGATGCTCAAGCTCAGAGTCATAAAGAAATCAAAGATGAGAGTCAGCACAGCTAATGGTGTTTACATATCGTCTGGAGGAAACGCCTTCACTAACTCACAAATCAACAGGAATACATAACTTCTCTCAAGTCTGCCAAGTAAATATGTGAAACGATGCCGATTATTTTCCAACGGCTCGGCTGGAGCGATGACACCGATTATTATAAGCTAACAGAGAGAAAAAAGAATTGATCGGTGCCGGGGAGGTCATCCTCATCCAGGAGCAATGCTCATATTTCACACCATCTGACAATTAAACAAGAAATTCCTCTTTAAAGTTTTAGAGTAATTCTCAGGACCTTCATAAACATGACATCAGCCTTTTATCTTTTAGAAAACAGGACTAG